CCCCTCTGACTTACTCCCCTTCATTCTTCCCCTCCTGCTATCTTCTTCTTTTTCTTTTTTCTTAACATATGTTGCATTATTTGTTTCAGAAGTACAGATCTGTGATTCAACAGTCTTGCACAATTCACAGCGCTCACCATAGCACATACCCTACCCAATGTCTATCACCCAGCCACCCCATCCCTCCCATCCCCCACCACTCCAGCAACACTCAGTTTTGGCCAAACTTTTACTCATCCTTCAGATGTAGCAATTCCATGATGCCTCCCTGAAGCCCCCATCTATGCCACTATGGCAATCAATTTATACCTTTATTATAGGACTAGTGCTATAACTATGTATTTACCAGCCTGTTTCTCCTACATTATAAGATCCCAGAGAGCAAGTTCAGTGATATTGTATTCAAATTTGTTTCCCCAGTGCTTAACACTATATACTTGGCACAGAAATCTGTTGAATGAAAATTTAATCAATTAAAATTTAAAAGTAAATGAAACAGTTTGTTTATGAAGGGCTAGGAAAAGAAAAATGTCTAAGAGCCAAAGTGCTTTCCAACATCAAACCTGAACGTGACGTATAACTTGAGTTTACATTTGCTAAAGAAAAGCTCATTTTGATAGCTTTAACAATAAATTAGTAGATTCAGGAGAAAATAAACTAATGATAGAACTTATGTTTTGCAAGATGAAAGAGCTCCGAAGATTGGTTGTACAACAATGTGAAGGTACTTAACACTACTCAACTGTCCCCTTACAAATGGTTAAGATGTAAATTTTACATGTGTATTTTATCACAATTAAAAATAATTAGTAGCTTAGTGGGGGGGCATTTGCTCAAGGATACATATTAATTTACAAACCAGGTATTTTATAGAACATTAAGTGAACTCTAACATGAAATAAGGCATTTGCAATTTTTTTAATTAAAATTACTGACTTTAACTAAAGTAGGAAGGGAGAATGAATATCACCTAGTTCAACTACCTTATTTCACAAATAAGAAAAATAATCATGTAAAATAGAAAAATATTAACTAAGAGGAAAAACCAGGATCAAAACCCAGGTTTTACTGGGAATGCAGGGATCTCTTAGTTGTATCACATTACAGTCTCCAACAATTTAGAAAGTAAAAGCTAGAACTTATTGTATTCCATCCCCATACAAAGATAATGAAGAGGAAAAATAATACTACAGGCAGGAGTTTGCATACCTAGGCTCTATCTAGCTTCTATCTGTGGGATCTCGTAAACAAGTTACTGACCACTGTAATACTACCTCATGGGACTAATGTGAGAATCAATGAAAACCCTGTTACAAATGGAAAGTGTAATCTTCGTCTCTATCATCAATCCCTTCAGATTCTCCAGTGTTGTCTCTTAGCAATGTTTTAATCATTATGTGTGGGGGGACACAGAGAAAAAATATAAACTACTCTAATTCTGACTAGTTGGGAGTTTTGTTCTTGTTTTACATGAGGAAGGAAAGTGGGGGAGGGGAGGGAAAGAAGGTAGCAAGGTTGTTCCTAATGGGCAAAGAATAACCTCGTCCCAAAAGAAACTATTATACATAGCTCTTATCAATTAAAGACTCTCAGAATCACAAGCTCTTATATTACTCATGTTAAAATTATCATTTTTCCCAGTACAGATCCTATAAAACTTGTCATTTTTAGCATAGTTCAGAAAATTATATAATAGTTACTTAGGTATATATTTATCTTTCCTACTCTACTGTACGTGTCCAAACAGGGACTCATAGTATTTAGCCTTTAAAAGTTGTTTGTGTAGGGGCGCCGGGGTGGCTCAGATGGTTAAGCGTCTGCCTTCGGCTCAGGTCATGATCCCAGGGTCTTGGGATTGAGTCCCGCATCGGGCTCCCTGCTCCTTGGGAGCCTGCTTCTCCCTCTGCCTCTCTCTCTCTCTCTCTTCTCTCACTGTCTCTCATGAATAAATAAATAAAATCTAAAAAAAAAAATCCATATGAAATCAAATTAAAAAAAAAGTTGTTTGTGTATTGTTTTAACTGGGTCAACATCCAATGAAATATAAAGGTAGGTGGCTGAAGTTGTCCCTAAGAGAACTGGATGAAAGGGAAGAACTGAATGAAAAGACAAGAATTTTATCTCCCTTTGGCTTCCCCCCAACTCCTTCTCCCCCTCTATTCTTGATTTCTCAGATCCTATGCAGAAGGCCTCTACTAATATTCTATATATCCACAAATTTATGCGTATTGTTACACTAGTAACATGTATAAAAATACCGTGTTTTCACTCCAGGCATGAAAATATTTAAAGAAAAGTATATCAAATCAGTATTTTTTAAAAAAGCAACCTCATTTGGCAAACAAATCTTGTGCAAAATGTTCACCATATAAAACATGTGCAAGAAACTACCATTTTTTAAAAGAAAAAAAATTGCACCTTCTGTGAATTTCCATTTAAAATCTCATTCTGATGTAAATTATAATAGTAATATTTTAATTTGCATAAAGCAGTTGTAAATAAAAATCACATATTCAACTTTTTCCCTTGTACTCACAATACGCCTTAACTTTCAAAAACGTTAGAAGAAGGATATCCTCGAAACAATGCCTAGCTCCAAATACCGGAATTCATATATCTTCTCCAATAATTCATGGAAACTTGTATTAAAGTATAGAATAGCTATAATATGGAAGCACCAAATATTTTGGGATTCCACAGACTAGTCCACTTTTCCCCACATTTCTTAAGAATCACCTGGGCAGGCTATTAAAAATAGATTACCACAATCCTCCCCTAGAGATTCTGATTCAGTTGCTCGGGCAAGACAAAAATCTTTATTCCTTAAAGTGATTTTGATGATTAGCTAAGATTGTAAAACATTAATCTAGTACAGTGGTTCTCAATCTGGTACATATTAGAATTACCTGAGGAGCTTTAAAAAAATTTTTAAACCCAGGCTGAAGCTCAGTCTGATAGAAATGAAATCAACACTTTTTAAAAAGCTTCCCAAAGGAGGCTGAAAAACACTGACCTTTTAAGAACTTGAAAAGTTCTTGTGAACCCTCTTATCAATAAAGAAACTAGGCTTGCTCAAGTTCACAAAGCTAAGTGTTAGTAAAGCTGTAGCTAGACCATTTCCTGACTCCAATCCACTTTGTTTTTTGATGTAGTTGTTTATTTTCCATATAGTTTGACAAAATAAATGTTTGAGAAAGTTAAACCATCTTCTTGCCTCAAAAGAATACTGTCATTTAACAACTGAAAAAATTAAAATGAAGCTTACCTTTTTGTTTCAATAATTGCTAGTAAATATTTTCTTAATCCTAATATAAAACAAAAAGACTAAATATCACTATTATTTAATCTTTAGTTACTAAGCTGTTAATAAATCTTACAAAAACTTCTTTAAAATTTTAACTTCTAATTCAATATTTTAAAATTCCAAATTCTTTTTAAAGTCAGGCATCACAGTTCCTAACTGGCAAAGTTATTTCAATACCTGAATTTGGTGACAAAGTTTCTTCATTACATAGAATACATAATTCTACATATTGAAGCTGCTTTCTGAACAGAGAACACATTTCCTTCTTTCATACAAAACAATGAACTTTAGGCTGCATTAGCAAAACCCAGTCATTGGTTTGTCCACAGATACTCAGAGTGGGAAATTCAGAATGGGAAATTTCTCAAAATATAGTTAACCCATTCCAAGAATTCTGTCATTTTAGTGACAAAATAACGTATAATAATCATGAAAAATATGTCAAGTGCAAGCTTATATTGCCGTAATTTTTAAGAGTGTTTTTTACTTTCTAAAAATTACTGTATGTTTAATTTGTCTTCTGGTGATCTACTTTCATCACTAGGATATCAAAGTTGCTGAAATATTTTTATCACTCTCTAGGTTGCCAAATGTTTAGATATTTCAAATTTCAGTGAAGTTTGTTATTTCTGCTTGCGGGGTTAAAAAAAAAAAAAAGCGTGTGGAATGCTTCATCAGAAGCATATCACATTACTCCAGAGGTAAAACTTAGGCAATTTGTATCTAGTTTAGAGTACAATGTATACTTTTGAGTACTTCTATTTACAAATAAGTAATTGCCAGGTTCCATATTTTTAAATATTCTAAGTAAGAATCAGATGCAACAGATTTTATTGCAGTAATTTAATGAACTAAAGCCCTCTCTTTTTGTTTTTACAATCAAGGTAGATAGCAATGTAAGTTTAAAAGCTAACCAAAACTTAAGTATGCTATTTGCACTTTTTAAAATATGAAAATACCCCCAAAGCACTAAAAGGAACCAAGAATGTGCCCCTAAAGCAAAAATAAAACCTCAGAATCTCCGTTAAGTGTTCGAATTATATACAGTATTTAGAAAATGCAGTTAGAGGGGATAATCACCATGGAGTTTTTACTTCAGGAGAAAGCTGTGCTACACTAAGGTCTGCAAAGCCTCAGTCTTTTGTGTTAACATTTTTAATTTGACACTCTTTCAAATTCTGAGGAGTAAGACTATAAATACATGGCCTTGGGGGGTTGTTTAAAATTTTCCTTTAAAAAAAAAGTTTATTTTTAGGCGTGTGCTAGGGCAGTAGTCAAATAGAACACCAGCTATTAAAAATTCCGGGCTGGTCCCATCTGGAAGCGAACGGCGGACCCTGGGCTGCGAGAGGCTTCGTTTCCGCCCAGGCTGGACCGCAGCACCGAGCCAGCACGCGGGAGGCGCCGGGCTCAGACCGAGCGGCAGACGGAGCCGCCCGGGGGCGGGGGGCTCGCACGTGCCGGCCGGGGGCGGGGCCGGCCGGAAAGGACCCCGGCGCGGGGAGGCGGGCGCGGCCGAGCCGACCTCCCCCGCGGCCGCCAGCCTGGGCTTTACATAAGGGCGCACGTCATGGAACTGATGGAGCCACACAGAGACGTCTAAGTCATGCAGGAGGCGCGCGGCCCCGGCCCGCTCCCGCCGCCCCAAGACCCCTCCTCTCATCCGACAGAAAGACAGACAAGAAGGGTTCCCGACCTGTCGTGCCCTGCATGTTCAGAGTCTGTCATGTTTGGTCAAGAACGGGGCGGGGCTGGAGGACAGGTCTGCGAGGCCGGCGGCGGCGGGGCGCGGGGAGGACCCCTGCGCCGCCTGCGGGTACCTGCTCCCGGCCGCCGCCGAGAGGTGACGAAGTGGTAAAAACTCACGGTTACTAGTGAGCGACACAGACACAGACTTTCCAGTCTATTAACAACCACGCCAGAGAGATGGGGCTCTAACTGCAAACACTGGGCAACGGCCCCGCGCTGCCGGCGCTGCCGCTTTAGTCTCTATTCGCCGCCGGTGGCTGAGGCTTGGGAGCGGGCGGGCGGGCGGCGTGCAGCGACGCGGGGATTTGGACACTGGCCGTAACGGTGATTTCTCCTCACCAACATGGCGGCACCCGAGACAGGCTGCTCGATAAAATGGCGCCTGCCGCAACACCTAGCCCGGGACTAAAGGGCAGGAGAGATTCCTCCGCGAGCCGCGGCCCTTGCCCGGCCCGCCGGGGCCGAGCGCGTTGGCCATTGGAGGAGGCAGCCCGTCAATCACCCCAAGGGGCGGGTCCGCATCCTTCTCCGTGAAGCGGCGGAGGCGGCAGCCAGCTGGCGGGGCCGGGCGGCGCCTCGGTAACACCGGGCGGGGGAGGAGGTCTGGAGCCCCATGCTGTTGATCCGCGCCTCAAGGCCCTGCTCGTGCTGGCCCACTGGGAAACGGGCGGAGGGGTTCAAGACGCACCCTAACACGGGCCCCCAAAGCCATTCTGCAGCCTGGTTATGAGGGGTGGGGTGATAAGAACACGCGGTGTAGAGTCTTTGAAAAAAATCACCTCGGTCTTTTAAATAATGGGAAAATGTCCTATAAGGTAGCGCCTCTTTTTGTAATGTCTAGTGCTTATAATCGCGTTTTGAAGACAATAGGTTGGCATGTGGCTTTTTCTGATAGTCAATATTAAATTTACCTACCCAATTATTTAATTATAAATTATTAATAAAAGTTAAAAGAAAAATGTTATTTAGTAAAAACATTAATATTCCATATGTAAAATATACACGAATATTTTATAAATAAAAACTAGCCACCGCATGTCTTTATACTTATGAACCTGACCTTTGGCAATAATTTTTTAACGACAAATCAATGTTTTTGCCTATTCAGTAAATTAACTTGGGACGAAAAGTTCCTTGTTTTGTAATGAAATGATGAACTTGATGGTAAATCAGATATCTAACTTTGTGGTAGTGAATGCATTTGACCAATGCATAAATGCAGTGCATTCAGAAGCAATCGCAATTAGTAAATTAAATTTAAAAATAAAAAAATTAGATATGTACATTGGTAAAGAAATCGCACTTTTTTTTAAAGTTGAATGCAGCCACTGACAAGACCTGCACACTGATCTATAGACAATCCTGCAGGCACTTGCCACATTTCGACATAATACAGTACTAAACTTTCGAAAAGCAGATCTATTTTGTCTGGAGTAACAATAATTAGCATTTGGAGTTAGATTAGAATCTCTAGGTCTTTGTCTATTTTAACTATTTTACTTAATTAGGTCTTACTGTAGCTAATCAGATAGCCCACTTCTCATTCTCCCACACTTAACGACTCAGCCACCCAGGTGCCCCGTCCCTTAATTTTTTTAAAAATAGCTTTATTGATATAAAAGCATATACCTGAAAATTTACACATTTTAAGTGTACAATTTAATGACTTTTAGTAAATTTGCCAAGTAATGCAGCCATCACCAACATTCAGTTTCAGAACATTCCATCCCCCTAAGTGCCTATTTATAATTAATCCTATCTTGCCACCCATGCCTCAGGCAACTGATAATCTACTTTCTTGTCTCTGTAGATTAGCCTTTTTGAACATTTCATGTAAATTGAATTATATGTTATTTCATTCTCCCTTTAAAACACCCAGTCACCTCTACACAATCTGAATGGAGTTCAACCCTTTACCTTCAGTCAATAGTTTCTGAATAAAATCTGTTTTTGCTACTTTAATGTCTGGCTTTGTTTATCTTTGACTATCATTCCCACCCTTAATGCACACAAATATAAAGGTGTCAACAGGGGATCTAGTGGAGAGAGGCCAGGGATGCTGCTAAAACATCCTATTAAGCACAGGAATGTCAATTACTCAGCCCAAAATGTCAAAATGCTGAGGTTGAAAAACTCTGCTCTTGACAATCAGAACTCGAAGTTTTGGGGATTAGAAGTAAAAATTAAAAAAAAAAAAAAGGGAAGACTTACTAGGGTATCACAGGGCTAATAAAGGAAGGGTTCACTCTCATTTCCATGGTTTGATTCCCAGGTCCATAAATTCTGGCTAAGGGAGAAACAGCACCATATTATTGATTGCTGATTTATAGCATATGTCCACAAAACATGTACTTTGCATCTAGCTAGTACTGAAACTGGTACTCAAAAGACCATTCCTCCATCTTATGTCAGTTGCTTTTTTGTGTGTGGTAAACTATATATGATACAAAATTTGCCATTTTAATCATTTTGAAGTGACAATTCAGTGGCATTAACTACATTCACCCTGCTGTGCAAGGATCACTGTCTGCTTCCAAACTTTTTCATTACCCCTAACAGAAACTGTAACCATCAAGCAGTAACTCCCATTTCCCCCTTTCCCAGCACTGAAAGCCTCTAATCTGTCTCTCTGATTTGCCCATTCTAAATACCTCATATAAGCGGAAATACAGTATTTATGTTTTTGAGCCCGGCTTATTTCATTTAGCATACTGTTTTCAAGGTTCATCGTGTTGTAGCATGTGTCTGAATTTATTCCTTTCTATGGCTGAATAATATTCCATTGTATGTACATACATTTGATTTATCCAATACTTGGGATGTTTCCACCTATCAGCTCTTGTGAATAATGCTGCAATGAATAGAAGCATGCACATATCTGTTTCAATCCCAGTTTTCAATTCTTTGGGGTATATACCTAGGAGTAGAATTGCTGGGTCATATGATAATTCTATGTTTAGGCCAGCTGCTTTATAATGATAGGGGCATCTTATCTATTGCTACATAGCAAATTATCCCAAAACTTTGTGGTTTAAAACATAAATGAGGGGGACACCTGGGTGGCTCAGTTGGTTAAGCGACTGCCTTCGGCTCAGGTCATGATCCTGGAGTCCCGGGATCGAGTCCCGCATTGGGCTCCCTGCTCAGCAGGGAGTCTGCTTCTCCCTCTGACCCTCCCCTCTCTCTCACTCATTCACTCTCTCTCAAATCAATAAATAAAATCTTTTTTTTTTAAAGATTTTATTTATTTATTTGACAGAGAGAGACAGCAAGAGCAGGAACACAAGCAGGGTGAGTGGGAGAGGGAGAAGCAGGCTTCCCGCGGAGCAGGGAGCCCGATGTGGGACTCGATCCCAGGACCCTGGGATCATGACCTGAGCCGAAGGCAGACGCTTAACGACTGAGCCACCCAGGCGCCCTCAATAAATAAAATCTTAAAAAAAAATAAAACATAAAACATAAATGAGAGGCACCTGGGTGGTTCAGGCAGTTAAGCGGCTGCCTTTGGCTCAGGTCATGATCTCAGGATCCTGGGATAAAGTCCCGCGTTGGGCTCTCTGCTCAGCGGGGAGTCTGCTTCTCCCTGTCTCTCTCTCTCCCTCTGTGCTCTCTCTCTCAAATAAATAAATAAAATCTTAAAAAAAACACAAACCATAAATGAGACAGGGACCTTGGGAACAAGCCCCAATGCACCTGGGACTCTGCCTACCCAATTATTAAATAATAATAAATTATTAATAAAAGTTAAAAGAAAAATAAATCATGTTATTTAGTAAAAACATTAATATTCCATATGTATGAGAAGTAATAACTTCTCTTGCAGAGCAACCTGTAGGCTGTTACCGCTTTTTCTTGCAGAGCAAAGCACTAGCCAAGGAACAAGCCTAGACCAGGTTCAGACTAGTCTGAGATAAAACAGGCAGCAAATTTACCTTTCACTGACTTTTCCCCTTATTATGCTAAAACACATACCCAGAGGTGGAGACAACATGCAAATGAAACATATGATATATGAAGAAGCATATTTTGTCAACTGAGCCTATGCCCCCAATTTCCTGGCATTCCCTGCCCCTACATGCTTAAACATCACTCTTTTCCCGCCTCAGCCTCTTTAAAAGTTTCCCTGGTTATTGTTCAGAGAGCCAGTCTGACTCCTTTGTCATGACTGTGTCTCCCTTCAGCTGCAGCTGTTGCCCCTATAACAAAACCTTGCCTGTGTTTGTAAATTTTGGATCCAGCCTCATTTCTACCATTGCTGGGTCCAAAGGCCTGAGTCCAGTAACATAAACATTTATCTTCTTATTTTTTCTTTTTTGGATCAGGAATCCAGTAAATATTAGCTGGGTGGTTCTAACCCAGAGTCTCTTATGAGGTTGGAGAGGCACTGGCGGATCAGCTTCCAAGGTGGCTCACTCACATGGCTGGCTTTTCACAAGTGTTTTCTGACATGGTGACTGACTTTCCTTCAGGTAGGCGATTCAAGAGAGGAAGGCAGAAACTGCAGTACTTTTTACCACCTAGCCTCAGAAGTCGGGCACCATCTAAAACTGTGTATGTTAGAAGTCACTGGATCTAGTTCACATTTAAGGAGAGAACAGCCTCCATCTTTTGAAGGGATAAGTGTTAAAGAATTTGTGAACACATTTTAAGAGTACCATACCATCTATTGAGTTTTTAATGTCCGTATCATATTTTTAACTTCTAAAAGCTCTACTTGGTTCTTTTTCAGCTCCTTAATGTCACTTTTTATAGTTTCCTTTTTATCAGGTTTTTTTTTTAAAGACTTTATTTATTTATTTGAGAGAGAGAGAATGAGAGATAGAGAGCACGAGAGGGAAGAGGGTCAGAGGGAGAAGCAGACTCCCTGCTGAGCAGAGAGCCTGATGTGGGTCTCGATTCCAGGACTCCAGGATCATGACCTGAGCCGAAGGCAGTTGCTTAACCAACTGAGCCACCCAGGCGCCCTCCTTTTTATCAGGTTTTGTTGCATAATAAATTACTTTTAAAACTTGGTGGCTTAAGACAACTATTTACTTAGCTTACAATGCTGGTCAGCAGTTTGGACTGGGACCATCTGGGAGGTTCTTCAGTTCTCCACTGGGCTCCCCTGTGTTTCTGTGGTCAGCTGTGTGTTGACTTGGCGGCTTTGCTTTATAGGGTTTTGCTGGCTGTTGACTGGGTGTTGTTGCTCTCCTCCTTTTGCCTTATCCTCCACATATCTCTCCCTTTTCTTCAGCAAGGGGGCCTGGGCTTGTTGTTCTGGAGAAGGCAGGAGTTCAAGAGAGAGCAGACAGACGCATGTCCTCTTAGGGACCCGGCTTGGCATTGGCAGGCCTTTTCTGCTGCATTCTATTAGCAAAAGTAGGTTAC